GGAAGAACGTACATAGATTTGCATCGCAACGTGTACAAACTAAATAGATACAGTGCATACACAAAAACCCTCGTCATTTCTTGTAAATATGACAGAAACATACCATTGTGATACTCATTTAAAATCATTGATCGTGCGTAAAAGAATTATTTGTAATGATACTGAAGGTCAAAAACGAAGAAAATTATCTCGATTTTCGGATAAGGATACCAAAAATTTTTTTGACGATGTCATGCCTGATTCGATCGAAAAGTGGATGGTTTTATTCTTACTTCCGAATAATGATGATTGTGAAGAAATTTATAAAATTTCACTCGATATCCTTCAAGATACAGTCGATTCTATCGAGACATTTACTGAATTTAATCGATGTGCTGATTTTATTAAGACTCTCAATAATACAACCATATATTTGATTGTCTCGAAAGAAATAAATGAAGAAGAAAGTATTATTCTTGAAAATTGCTCATCAATCATGTCAATATATCTTTTAAATCGAAATAATTTACATGAACAACAATGGATTAAATCATGTAAAAAATTCAAAGAAATATACATTAATATAAAAGCTATTTGTGATAATATAAAACAACATATTCACCTGTTCAGACAAAATGTAATTTCTATTAATGTAACTTCGCAAGAATCTGCTACTAATCTTGATGAACTTGATCCATCATTTATGTATTCTCAATTGTTAAAAGAAATTCTTCTTGAAATGCCACATGATGACAATGAAAAAACAAATTTCGTAAATTTCTGTAATCAAAAATATACTAACAATGAATCGCAAATGAAAATAGTTATTGAATTTGATCAACAATATAATAAAACATCCCCAATATGGTGGTATACTCGTGAATGTTTTCTCTATTGGATGTTGAATACAGCTTTACGAACACATGATACAGACACTATTTTAAAAATGGGATTTTTTCTTCGTGATCTTCATGGTCAAATTGAAAAATTATATTTACAAAATAAACCATGCAATTCATTAGTTCTTTTTCGAGGACAAGGTATGTCTTTCGTACAATTCGATAAAATGAATAAAACCAAAGGTGGACTTTTATCATTCAATAATTTTTTATCAATTAGTACAGATCGGCAAGTGGCCTATTTATATGCAGATAGTGCTCGACAAAATTCAAATTTAATTGGAGTTATATTTATCATCGAAATCGATCCATCGGTTACAACAACTTCGTTTGCTTTTGTACAAGATTATAGTTTTTATGGAAGTACTGAAGAAGAAATAATTATGTCAATGCATAGCGTTTTTCGAATTGGTGAATTAGAGCAAATAGATTATCAACTCTGGCAAATTAAATTGAAATTGACAAGTGACAATGATCCACTATTAAAAAGACTAACAGAATATATACGACATGATATTGAAGGAGAAACACCACTCTATCGGATGAATAATTTAATGATGATTATGGGACATTATGATAAAGCAGAGGAAATTATACGAAAATTACAAAATACAACATCAGAAAAAAATGGACAATTAATTGCTGAATTGAATTATCAAATGGGAAATGTGTTATTAGCAAAGGGTGAATTAAATAATGCACTCGATTGTTTGAAGAAAACACTTGAATTTGAGCAGAATGTATTCTCACCAAATGACCCAACATTATCATATACGTATAGAAGTGTTGGAAGTGTTTATGATTCAATGGGAGACTATAAACAATCTCTTATGTATTATGAAAAAGCACTTGAAATTCAAGAAAATTCACTTTCATGGAATCCTTTAGAATTATGTAATACCTATACACATATAGGTCTTCTATATGAACACATGGGAGAATACTCTAAAGCAATTATATATCTCGAAAAGAATCTCGAAAATCAGATATAAAATTTACCAAATATCCATCCTGATATAGCTGCCAGTTACATTAATATTGGTTATGTATATAATTCAATGGGAGAATATGTAAAAGCACTTTCAGCTTATGAAAATGCATTGAAAATAGAAGAGAAATCTCTTTTAATAGATCATCCTAAAGTAGCTGCTACATATAATAATCTTGGATCAATACATAACAAAATGGGAGCATATTCAATAGCATTATCATGTTTTGAAAAATCAATTCAAATTACAAAAAAGTTTTTGCCATCAATACATCCTGATTTGAGTGTAACTTATAGCAATATTGGGCTTGTCTATCAATCTATGGGAGAATATACAAAAGCACTTTCATATTATGAGAAAACATTGTCAATCGACGAACAATCTCTACCACCCGAACATCCAACAGTAGCTGTTACCTATCTTAATATTGCCTCTGTTTATACATTAATGGGAGAATATTCAAATGCAGTGAAATATTATGAAAAAGCAATAAAAATTCAGGATAAGTCATTATCACCTGATCATCCTGCATTAGCTACGAGCTATAATAATCTGGGTGTGGTTTATAATAAAATGGCAAACTATTCAACATCACTTATCTATCATGAGAAAGTTCTTAAAATACAATTAAAATTAATTCCAATGAATTATTCAACATTAGCAGTTACTTACAATAATCTTGGACATTTGAGTGATGCTCTTGGAAATTATTCTCAAGCGCTATTATACTATGAAAAAACACTTGATATGCAACACAAATCATTCCCACCTGATCATCCTGACTTTGCAAATACATATAACAATACAGCCTCAACTAATAATTCATTAGGAGAATTTGATAAAGCACTTGAATATTACAGAAAAGCACTTGAAATTCAAGAAAAATCAGAATCACCCAATCAACAATTATTAGCTGATATATATTCTAATATTGGTTTAGTTTATCAATCATTAGACGAACATCTAATGGCATTGCCCTATTATGAAAAAACACTAGAATTACAGCGACGATGTCTTTCCAATGAACATCCATCGTTAGCTATCACCTACAATAATATTGCTTCAGTTCATAATTTAACAGAAGAATATTCAAAATCACTTGCATATTATGAAAAAGCACTTGAAATTCAATTGAAATCATTACCATCAGTTCATCCTGATTTAGCAACTACTTATAGTAATATTGGTATGGTATATCAATCAATAGGAGAATATCATAAAGCATTGTCATATCTTGAAAAAGCACTTGAAATCGAACATAAATGTCTTCCACCCAATCATCCTTCGTTCAATATTACTCATTACAATATAGCTGAAGCATTCGAATATCTCCATCGATATGAAGAAGCCATTCAACATGCACAATTAGCTGTCGACATTGCACGTCAATCTTTTGATTCTGATCATGATGAAGTTTTAGAAAACGAAGCACTTCTCCATCGTATACAACAGAAATTAAAAGAAACATCACATACAAATGTTTAGTTTATTTTATCATCGTGCAATGTCGATAGATATTTTCTGTCAATACCCTGAACATTCAATTATTTCTATTTTTTTAAGAGCGTGAGTGTAGTGTGGTTGAAGATATGGAGCGGATACTATCATCATACTAACAACTTTTGATTTCTCAATAAATTAAGTGATATGAAAACACAAACACAAGCCCCGAAAGATTGATCGATATAGTTTGGATGCCATTGGTGGGTACTACGATTTCAGCTTCAGTCGTAATAGCCTCCCCTGCCCGTATTGCTGACGGAGTGTGAAGAAATAAGAGAACCATACCCACACCACACCAACAGATCCACATCCACACCAACACTCACACTCGATTATTTGAGGATACCCTTACGTCCATCGATGTGAAGCTACTACGAGGGTGGGTGTGAGTGTGGGTGCGGGTGTGGGTGGGTGTGGGTGTGGGTGTGGGTGTGGGTGTGGGTGTGGGTGGGGGTGGGTGGGGGTGGGGGGGGGGGGGGGGGGGGGGGGGGGGGGGGGGGGGGGGGGGGGCGCGGGGGGGGGCCCCGGCGGGCG